GGGGGGGTGAAGTGGAAGGAAAAGAAGAGATAAAACGAAGCAGTAAAACTCTCCTTCGACTTGATATCCTAGTTCCCGAAGTTGACAAACGGTGCGTGTCTTCTATTGTTGCTAGAATATTTTTTTTTAAGTATAAGTGAGCATCTATCGCCTTGATTACGGTTGAATATTTGTTGTATTTGGATGAGATATGAGAACTATGGGCACAAGTCTGGCTTTTCTCGTTCCTCGGAAAGGTCAGAAGTTTGCCAACTACCCACGCTGGACATCTGGGAAACATCAATATAGGGCTAACACTACAAAGCTCATTTCCTGTATTTTCTATCACCATGTGGCACTCAAGCGAATAGCATAATAATACCCTCCTAACAGCACTTTGTAATAGCAGGTATCTATATAAACCCTCTCGCAAAAGGACACAAGAATACAACAAACGATCAAGTATTCGCTGGTTGGGGAGCTGAAGGAAAGGGGAAGTTTAAATGCTGAATCCCAGCCCCCATCCATACCAATTTTATACAAAACAAAGATAATCAAAAATTTCGAGATATGCACCCGCACCCTTGACTACTGCTTAGTTGCCTTTTTGTTTCATTTGGAGGCTTTTCCAGGGGATTTATCACCGACTCTTTGTGTAACTCCCCCTTGGAACTCCTCACGAGCAGCAACTTGCAACTCCGCAGTGCTCGGAGAGGAAGTAAGATTTTTGCTGCTCATATTTTCAAAAAACACATTCACACTTGGTATATTCCTAAGTTGAGCATAGATTTCACGAGGGCCTTCAAGAACAAGAATATTGGAAGAGTTCCCAGTGCCCAGTTTCAGGGGCGTTCTCGCCTCTGCTTGTCCGGGTTGCTGCTCATAGTTTCAAGCATAACGTTAATGCCTGTCAAGGAGCTCAGCTAGGAATACACGCTGTAAGGTGTTTCAAGTATGAGAACAGTCGAATTAGTGCGGTATGCCCCATTTACCGCAAATCCGCGGCCCTCACCAGTCTCCCTAATCAACTTGACCAACCCTGTGATTTCGTCGGCTGATAATGCTTCCGGGGTATGGACGCTCAATACGGCCGGGTATCTTGTTGCAGAGGATGTAGAACATCCGGAACAAAATCGTTCTGGATTCGAAAGTTAGAATCTGGTTCTGGAAACACAAGACGGATCGATTTGGGACCGACAGTAATCCTGTGGATTGGCTTGGAGGTCGACGATAGAGCTCGTAGTGCGACTACCATGTCCGCCATCTGAATGGATCGCCAAGTTCTCCTGTGTTCAACGATATAATCCAAAAGCCTTGATGTGAAGCTCCTACCCGTGAATTCCCCAGCCCCAATTTGTATATTTATAACGCCATCTTCATAATTGCTCTCTCCAGCAGCGAGGACTTCGACGATCCTGTTTGGGGAGCATGGGTAACGACGGAGCAACGACTTGCCAATACAAGGGTCAATTATGAAAAGCATGTCCAGAGAGGAGCTCTCCGGTATCAGGTCGAACCAGATTCCTCATCTACATCTCCTAAGAGGGCATCGAAGGGAATCACACCTGGAGTTGGAAATGTATCAGGAGTAGACCGGAAGAGTCGATCATACTGATTGAATCCGCTGTATCCGGCAAAATGCATAATGAGAAGGCTTCGGCCGGCTTCATTCATTAACCCTATTTGCGCTTTATGCAAAACTGACCGGACCTCCAATCCTGGATCAAAGAATGTTGGAATCTATTATCTATTCCTCCGCAACGGACAGGGTGACTTCTTGCAAGATTGAAGGCAAAAGAATCATGATAAACACTAGAGTCATGCTTCGAAAACGAAAATGTAGAGTGTAGGTTTGTTCGTATTCCCTTGGTAGCTCATCGATGGCTGATTCTAGCCTCGCTCTAGGGTCTTCAGCCGATATAGGTTTGGCAGCTGCCATCGTGGTTAAGTGAGGGATTTGGAGCTGCAATGTTTTGAAGAAATTCAATTTCGAAATAGATATATATTGAAAGAGTCTCAACATATGCAAAAAAAAAAAAATTAACTGAAAAGAAGCTCTTTCCGTGTCCAATTCGCAACATGACTGGGGGAAAGGGCCATAAAACTTGCCAAAGAATGACAAAACTGTATTATTTCAGCGTATAAAGCCTAATTGCAGTGTCGATATAGAGAGCCATTTTCAGCGTTCATCAGTTGGATGTCGTTGTCCGGAGTTATATAACATTTCTCAGAGGAAATATAATTATGATAGGCTCAAATGAGCATGTGGAAACATTGGAAGCAAGTAAATGTCTCTTTCTCTTAGCAATCCACTTCCTCTTGAAGATATGCTGAGTCTCAGCCCCAGAATATCGACTCCAGAGGAGGCATGGCTCAAATATTTCTGATGTCTGGCATTCCTATAAAACATCATAGCAAGCTGACTGGTGCACAGAGCTGGATAGTGAGAATTACAAGTCATGTAACTCCAACCTCAGAAAATAAAAGTAGTTGAGTGGAGGTTGAGATTAAGGGGGTTGATTTATATTGATTACATAATCCAGAGTTCAAGTGTCCGCATTAAGCTATTTCCGTTACTCTTGAGGAATTCAGGTGGAGCAACGGAACCTCCGCGCTTTGCAGTGAGCATGTGTATGGTTGGATATTAGGCAAGGGATCAGCACGACAAAACTGATTCGAGATGTTTCCTACACGCGCGCTGTTTAAGCGATCAGTATGGAAGGGTAGGCTTCAATTCCACAGCGCAATCAACTGATCCCGATCTAATCGTTGGCTGTTCCGTTTAGGTCCCAATATTGTCCCGTACGTTCTGTCTCCTATCTCAGACGACTCCCAGGCCCGCAATTGAGGGAGATGGATAGAGAGAAGTGCATTCCTCTGTCTATGCATATCCAATTGACGAGTCTCCCGTTCTGTTTCCCCAGTCACCCCAATACCGGAGTGTATCCAAATTAACATGCCTTGAAAAACCATTAACTACCAGACTCCCCCTTCCAAAAACAATTCCTCCACCCCCAGGAACGCCTGCGATTAAGACACAAGCGCGCTCCGCGACTATTCTACCCAATTTCGTTGGCTTGAAGTTCGCAGTGCATAATGGAATGACGTACAATGAAGTTTATATCACGGACGAGATGGTGGGGAGGAAGCTGGGGGAGTTTTCGCAGTATGTTCCTTGGTTTAAACACTGTTATGCACGCTTTTGTTTTTTTATATGCATCCCAGTTGCGTGGAGGGTTTACTGATGGCATCTATTGTGCTTTCTCTGGTTTTAGAACACGGAAGCTTTTCCGATATGAACACTCGAAGAATTAAGAGGATCTTCATGCTGCGTTTGCAGATGGATGGGGGTGTGGAATTTACTATGGAGCAGGATGGATTTTCTACATTGCTTTCCCACGAGGAAGATGTTGTTATCTGGTAGACCCCGGCTTTTTGATACCTTTGCTACCTGGCAGCCAATGGCATTGTCTGTCTCGGGAATGGACAGGGAGGCCTTTTTGAGGGTCAGCAGTGGACCGGAACATAGGCTCCCTGTACCTCGTGGGCATTCTGGAGAACTCGCTTTGGCGTTATGAACAGTTGAAGGTGTCCGTTCGTGGAGATGGGCTTGTTGACTTTTACTATGATGCAAAATATAGAGTAGGCGTTAGTTGCTGTGGTTTTATCATTGGAAATGTGAGGCATGGTGTTTAACAATGCCTGTATATACGTTTTCTGTACATTAGAATTTGGATCAAAATTTCCTTCCCCTTTCTGGAATACTTCTTAGAGATCTGGATTTTAATATTCACAACAAACAAATGCACATGGTATGATATGCTATAACATGATAATAAATCAAGAGTAAAACAAACCCGTGTTTTTTTTTCTATCATGAAGGAACCACACATCCTAAAACTCCACCCCAAAGACATGCCCCATAAAAACGAGATAAAATCCGCGCCTCCCAAATAAACGGAAATATAAAAAAGGGAGGGAAAACCCACCGACTTCCTTGGCCCCACCACCACCTTTCCCCGCGATATCTTAACGATAAAACTCCCCCCTCTTCACACTAACCCCATATTCCGCAACCGCCATCCCCAAGTCCTCCATCGTCAACACAGTCCGTCCCTGCTGGCCTCCCTGCCCTCCACCTCCAAACCCAGGTCTCTGCACACCCAAATGCAATCCACTTGTACCACCCTTCCCTTTCGTCCCCTCACCAGCACCGCCAGCACCCCCCGCCCCTCCTGCTGCAACAGCCCCTCCCGCACCTACACTCCCAGCACCGCCGCCAGCTACCGCCTGAGGCAAACCTGTGGAAAGATTTATGGCGCCCATGGGATTGTTTGAGGAGGAGCTGTTGGAGCTGCGGATACGGGAGTATTGGTAGGCGTCTGCAGCGATGTCGGCGATAAACTTTTGGGTGGCGAGGGCGAGGAGGCGGGCGAGGTGTGGGGGGGTTTGGTTTGGGCCGTTCCCTGGAGGTGGGAGGCCGGCGAGCGTGAGGTAGTGGGCTGTTACAGCGTCGGGGATCTGGAGGGGGTGGTAAGATTTGTAAGCTTTGTTTATGGGGGCGACAGGGGAATGGGATGGTGGTGTAAGGGGGGTTTGGGGAGGAGATGTGCCGTGTTATATCATCTTGATACATTTATCTCCATCAGATAGCAGCCAAGAAGGCAAAATATGGTAAACTCACGATAGGCGCGTATTCATCCATCTGACCCAGAAACTCCCGTAGACTCGTATCTTTCTTCGACGGTGGGAGTACTGCCACAGCTGATACTGGATTGACTTCAGTATCTAGGAATCCTGTTGGTACTCCTCCTGCAGATGTCGTTGTCGCCGTCACCATCGATTGCTGGCTGTCCACCATATTGGTATTATTGGTGCCATTTGCGGCTGAAGTCGCAGCTTCACTTGTCCCGCTCATCGTCACATCCGGCCGTGCTGTAATCGAGGTATTAGTGGTCATCTCAACGTCGTTATTTGTAGTGTCATCGTCGGTACGAATGGTAGACGTCGATGTATTGCTTGGGTCAGGAGTATTTGAGGGTCCAGGGTTCACTGCTGTAGCTGGAGCTGTAGCCAGTGTAGGTGTGAATGTTGGAGTTGATTTTTCTGTTCCTTGCGTGGTGGACGTTGGTTGTGGCGGTGGTGGTACAGCGTCCGACGAAGGCTGCTGGGAGTCGGCCATGACTGGCTGGTTCTAGGCGTCTTGTTCCGAATGACTAGACTGATCTTGGTCGGGCTGCAGAGATGCAGATAGGATGACAAGATGCTGGTTGGGTGGCTGACAGGTTACATAGGGTAAACTGATGATGGGCGAGGATTGTTGGAGGAAAGCTTGAACTACGTCCGGTAAAGGTGAAGTTTAAAACTGTTACTTCACTCGGAAGTTCCTCATACAATGGAGAGTCAATTATGAATATAACTTCACACGCTCTGCTTCAGACTCGGTTACTTTTAATTTAATACTCTCAGCATACAGCAGGTTATTTAGAAAGAAACAATAAAGAGAAGAAATTGAAATAATTAAAGTCGTTGTACAGCTGCAAAACATGTCATTTGTAGTAAACAAGCAACCCTACCCAACCCACGAATACCCTTATTCTCTGGACGCCTTTTCAGCCCGCTTAATGGATTACCCAGTGGGGAATAACCTGCCATAAATGAAAATAGCAAACCAAAATCAGTGCGCCGGTTTCCAGATTGAAACAAAAATGCCTACCCGTGCGAAGTTAAAGGTAGTGAAAAACAAAGGCACTAAAAGAAGTTCACCTCCCGATTTTGTGCTCCATACCATCAAGCCCGGGAATCAGCTCACTGCGGGTTTTGAAGCGACGGATCAACCATAGTCTCTGGCATATTTTGTGCGATACCTTGTGAAATATTCTGCGGTATACCCTGTTGCTGCTCGAGACGCATCTCGTCTTGCTTGGCGTCTTGTGCTAGGCTTTGAATTAGTGCTTGCTCCATGCTCTGTTCCTGCCCCTGCTGCACGTCAGGGTGCTGCATAAGCCCAGGAGAACTAGTCATGCTACTACGCGCCGATTCCAGAGATATGTTCGTCGCCCCGTGCGCTCCAGCAAGGGCCATCATCCCTTCAATGCCCTCCACATGCGCTTTATCTTCATTCCCCAGCCTCCGCTGACGCTCTCGCGCTTCTTGCTTGGCTGCCTGTGCCGGGGCGCGGGTTTTCAGTTCTCCAGTGACAAATTTGAGGTAGTATGGCACTTCGATACCGCTCTTGAGAAAGAACAACTTTAGATTCCGTGCTTTGTCTTTGAGTTGGACTTGATTGCGATCCTTGAGGGTTTCGTTGATTGTGCCACCTGGTCCGAACATGGCTAGGATTTGGCTCCAGTGGGGCCCCTTGACTCTGTCCAGTCCGGCCATCAGTGCATTCTCCTCTTCCGTTGTCCAGGGCCGACGTTGGCTGGGGAGACCCGCTCGGCGGCTAGTGGGCGAGGACTTCGCGGTTGTTGCCATTCTGGCTCTTTCGTAGAGAATTTGCGTTGGCTGAGACTGGGAATAATGAGGTACGCCAGGCATGTAGCCGTAGTTGGCTGCCGCTGCATGTGCCCGGGCACTGACTGGGGCACTGACAGCGGCTGGGTTGTACTGTTGAAAATGTAAGGGCGTTTGGTTGAATGTAAACTGGACTGGTTGGGCTGGTTGTAGCGGTAGCGGGTGTGTCGGTTGAGCTGAGAATGTTGTTGTCATAGCTGCTTGATTGAATGTGTGCTGGGAAGCTTGCCGCTGAGGATTTTGAGGAAATACATGTGGGACAACCGGTCCATGCTGTGGAGTTTGAACGAACTGTAGTTGTTTAGTTGGCCGTCGTTGGGGTGGAAGTGGCTGCTGCTGTTGGAATTGTAGCTGCAAAGGCTGTGATGGTTGATACTGTTGCGACTGTTGAACCCGGGGTTGTTGTTGTTGCTGCTGCTGCTGCTGGGGTTGTTGCTGAGGCTGCTGCTGCTGGGGTTGTTGCTGAGGCTGCAGTTTCGGCTGTTGGTGCGGAGGTACGGGAGGCGACGTTGACGGTCTGGATTGCTGGGCTTGCAAAGCAAGTTTGGCAGCATTCCGTGCCGCTCCCCTCACACCTTGACCCTGGAGTGCAATCTGCGCAGCCCGTGCGGCTCTTGCCACAAGATCGCTGTGGGGAGCACTACGCGCAACCGGAGCGGCCTCTGGTGGGTTAGGAACAACGGAAAATTGACCTTCAAGAGGTGTACTGCGAGATTCTTGTGCTTCGCCATTAGTTAATGGACGCCCTTTACTGGGCTTTTTCGTCTTTGTTGAAGGATATGTTAGTAAACACTCAAAGAGTCTTAAAGTGACCCTGAGAAAGGTAGATCGAACATACCTGCTGATGGCTAATGGCATCAAAGTTCTTGCTCACATACGAGCTCAGGTCTCTCAAAAAGTCTTCCCAACGGTATTTCTCCGGCAACTTAGCAGCGGCCGCTGGGTTATTGACCTCATTGAGCAGAATGTCACGTCGTGAGTAAGCACGATTCACAAAATCGGTTTCACTGGGGGCAAGTTGCTTGGTTCCCGGTCTCCGTGAAAGCAATCTTTGTTCTAGATCATCCGGAAACAATTCATGCAAAAGTTCCGTTTTCGATCGCTTCGCGGAGTTCATTGCTGCAATATATGCTTGAGTTTTCAGTTCCAGAAATAGTGCACCTTGCACCTTCAACAATCGACTTCCCTCGGGCACAAATATTTCCAGAAAGTTTGCATCTAATTCAGAAAACCCGATCTCCTGGCTATCGAAAATGCTCGACACAAAGGACGCCATGTTGGCCTTCCTGATTATGTCAACCTGGGTGGGCTCGGTAAGATCTAGTTCCCGTGGGGATAGGAATGATCCTTTGGACGAATATACATTCTTGGTATGGTCGAATAGGGATCTCATGGTTGAATAAGCTTGTCCGCTGTCGGAGTTGGGTTCGGAAACCATCGAGGTGAAGTCTTGATAAGAGGATTGGGCGAGCAATGTCAAAATTTGAGTTGACTGGAAGAAGTGTTAGTATTTTGAAAATTTTGATCTTTCTAAAATCATTATAAGCCACCACATACCAAGTTATCGAGGATTGGCAAGCTCTGTGTTTTTAACTGCGAATTCGCCTTGATCAAAACTATCGGTTGAGTCTCGCCAGAGTTCCTAAGCTGCTGGTTGCGGTTATACTGTTCCTCCACTCGCTCGGAATAACTCATGATGTTCGAAATGACCTCCACAACGTCTGGTCCTAGCTGGCTCTGGACGAATGCGGCGGAGACAACGTTTCCTTGAACACCGGATAGCAGGCCAGCTGGTTTCTTTTCATCCAGATTATCGGGGCTGCCGTTGAGCTCAGCTTTTGTGTCTGGGGAGGTAGGGAGTATTGATAACAGCGCTGCCGTAGTTTGATCCTTCTGCTCTACAATTGCTTCCAACTGTGGTTTATCTGCTATGTCAGGCAGTTCCAGAGCTGTCTCATTAGCAAAGCTTGATCGCCGCCTTTTTGCAGCTGGAGGTGATGTGTTGAGGTCATCGTGTTCAAGTGCATGAGTGGTTTTAGCAGCTCCTATAATGGCAAACAGCAGTTAGAACAGGATTATTCACAGTATCTCATGGTCATCTCTACAGCAACCCTCAAGTTTCCTAGCCTCAAAGAGGATGGTTGGATGAGCAGTGGAGCTTCAAAAAAAGGCTAAAGCTAGAAGTAAAAAAAAAAATAAAATATAAATTATACAGAGGGTAGGTGTATTATGTTGTAAACATTGGAAACCCACCATTACTCTCTAATGTAGCTATATGGATATGCTCTGGAGTTGTTTTGGCGGAGAGGTCTAAGGCTTGAGGGTTGGCCATGCTGGGCGGGCGTTGTCGGCAGATCGCTCCCAGGCGGACGGACTTCCGGGAGAAGAAATGAGGGTTTAGGGATAGGGCGCAGAAGTAGGGCTTGGAGGCTCTTGTGACTTTAGAAGGGGAGTCTGCTTGCTTGACCGGCAGCGGAAGCACCTATAAAAGGGCTCAGTCAGAGAAGCATCACTTCACTGGCAATCCTCCAACACGAAGCATATTGCAAGGGGACTGATATTCTTTTTACCCCGCCCACGCTGGGGAATTGATATTCAATGATTTTCAGCAAATTCGGGTTTGTCTGCTGCAGCAAATGCGGGCAAAAAGAGGTTTGCCGCTTGCCCTGATTATGTCAGCAGAGCTAGTGCAAAGACAGAATAGTACGACATTCATTTTGGCATCTTAGGGCCTCTTGACACCTTGCCCTAACTTGCATCCGAATGCGTCAGTTGTTTGCATTATTTGGACAAATCCATGGGGACAGGGAAAGTTTGTGTCAATGTCAAATTACTGTATAAATATATACAAATATATGTAAATTTCAATAATGAGTACCTATATCTAAATGATAATTTTTTATTATTTATATAAAACTTTATACTTTTTTAATAGTTTTTATTTTATTATTTAATTTTTTTCTTTTAATAATTTTATCTTTTATTTAATTAAAAAATATTATAATTATTTTTAATATTATTATAATAAATAATAATTAATATTTAAATAATATTTTTTTATAATTAAATAACTTTAATTATTTTTCTATTGATTTAATTTATATAAAACTTTTTATATATTTTTTAAAATTTATCTCAATAAAAATATCTTTTTTAAAACTTTAGTCAATTTTTAAAATTTTAATTCAAAAATACTTTTATTTAAAAGTTCTTATTAAAATTAATTAGTCTTTCAATTTTTATAATATTCAGATAAAATTTGAAAAGTTGATTATTAAAAATATATTTTTCTTTAAAAAGTAAATATTTATCAGTAATTTTCATTATTAACTCATAATATCTGATCTATAAAGTATGAGAATTGAATAAATAAGAGATTAATTAAATTAAAATAATTCAAACAATTTTTAAAAGTTTTTATTATGTTATTATTGAATAAAAATATCTATATTATTTGAAAACTATGTTAATTTTAATTTTCTTCTCATCATATTAAGTATCTTCTTACACTATTTTTATCAAAGTTTATCTAAATACAATAGAAAAGATATCTATGAAAAGTAAAAAATATATAATTTAAGATTTCTACATTTAATCTCTATAGATTATAGATTAAAGATTAGAATTAGCTGAGCATAACTAAAAATAAAAATAAACTAGAACTAA